TGAGTGTGCGTGAGCGAGCGCTGCTGCACGCTAAATAGATGGAACTTAATAGAATAATTGCATTTACATTTAGTAATTTAGCAGACGCTTTTATCCAAAGCGACTTACAAATGAGGACAATAAAAGCAGTCAAAACTAACAACAATAAATAAGTGCAAATGACAAGTCTCGGTTAGCCTAATGCAGTAGGCAACAATTAGCAAATAATAGAATAATAGTGCAATAATTCTGAATAAAATATGCATTCTGCTAAAATATTAGTTTTTGGACATTAAATGTTACATGTAGAATTTCAATCCTACATATAAGTGTGTTTTTATGATAGCAGTAGACCTAACTGTAAATCAAATGTAAGCTGGCTAATACAGCCCTAGGCCTAGTCTCTCAAATGAGTTAAATGTGTTCCTCTTATCAGTTAAAATGTAGTCTGATTTCTATTATTTATTTTCATTTTTACTTCAGTGGTTTTAACTTTTAATTTAGTGTTTTACATGCTTTAATGAGTAATTTTAGATTGTAATGTTTTAATGTTCTACTAATAACCATAAAAGGTACAGCTGTCATAAAACCAGAGAGAAAGGCTGCATGGCTAGAAACTGCTGATCAACTGAATGTGTAAGTAGCAACTATGTTAAAATGTTTTCATATATCTTTAAAAAAAAAAAAAAAAAAAAAAAAGTAATTAAATTTTGGGCAAAACACAGTTGGTTGTAGCCAGTTTTTTTTTATTTGATTATTTAAGTTGCATTTTCTGTATGCTTTTATGTTTGGACTAATAATAAAGTCAACTAATTGTATGTGAGAGAGTCAGTGGTAATATCAATGCGTATCAATATCAGTGTTGGAACTAAGCTTAGCCTGACAGTTAGCCTGCCCTGGACCAGGTTAGTTTCCCAACATAAGTTGCCACAGTGACTGAGCTTGAGCTATGGTAATTTTGCTTTCGGAAAAACCAAATCAAGTGACAATAAGTGAAATTAATAACTGAAATAAGCCTGGCTTATTTGGTAAACTAGTTTTATGAAACAGACCCCTCAATTTGGGTCAAGAAGTTTCATGAAAACGAAATAAACAGTAATGTTTATCACACATCCTTCAAAATTCAGTTTTTTGAGCAGCATTCTTACTGAGCTGTGCCAAAGTTCCATCCTCCGACAGCCAAGAGAGTTTTCAAGTTGGGATTTCTGTGAAGTCAAATATTTGAATCATTATTTTCTGTATTGCTCTCTGACAAATCATCATTATTCAAAACTGCATTACATAATGCATTCTATTTTATTATCAAATGCATTCACAAACAAAACATTAGATACATACTTTTCCTTTAGTCCATTGAAAGATTTGTAGAGAGTGTCATCATTCCACTCGTACTTGATCAACTCATTCACCTGATCAATGACGGAAAAAGCATAAATTAAATGAGTGCACAGATGTGGATCCACATTTTCTGGCAGGTACTTGCCAACGTCAGGTCTGTACTGAGACCAGTTTGTGAAGTAGCATGCGAGTTGGGAGGCCCATCCTGAAATAAATAAAATCATAATACAATTAGGGCTGGTAATTTAACGCGTTAATTAGATTAATTATGGTGAAAAATAACACGTTAAAATAATAAGGCATTTAACGCACTTGCCCTGCCCCAGGCCAGACCTATGTGGGTCATCTGACATTTCATACAATTGACTGATGACAAATATGAGGCAGGGCAACAACTCACTGCTTGATGGAGCCTATAGAGAACGTAGTTAAATGTCCCTAAAATTCACAATATGGGGCAAAAATGCCCCCGTTTGAGTTTGTCTCATATTTACATCATATAGTTCAGCAATATCACACGAGCAATAGGCTAAGTGCAATATCACATGTGCAAATGTGATACTGATCTTACACAACAGTTCAGTAAGTAAGAAGTTAATATTGTGTTATTTTAGACACAATGTTGTCTGTTTTGCTCAATTTTGCCAATGAAAATATAAAGGCAAAGCAGAACTGTTAGTCTCCGAGCAACACACAGCGGCATTTCATTTCTTAATGCACGTTTTGAACGAATTGGGTGAACCATTTGGCGCGTTGGATTTGAAGCGGCGCTGCACAGACCGATCGGTGTATGACATCAAAAGGCGATTCAAAAGCATGCAGAGTCGTCTGCTCTCTATAGCTCTTGAGGCACTTCGATGTCACTAACACCGATCGGTCTGATGGTGATGATCCGCTTCAAATCGAACAAGTAATGATTCAATGAACCATTCATAAAGAACCATTTACTTCACTCC